CAGCATCTTCTTATAGCTTCAAGCGTTTTGCCAGATGTTCCTTCTGTTGATGATTTGAAAATTGGAACTCTCTTGACTCCAAAATGTTTGAACTCATCGCAAAGGTCAAACTCTCCCAATTCACAAAAGGCTCTCTGCTTCTCCCTGTATTGCGCATGGACGAGTGCGTGGATGTTGAGTGATTTCCACTGCATGGATGTTGAGTTAAGACAGTATTGTTCCCATTCTAAAAAAAAGTATTTAGGATCAAGAAGTATCCAAATACGATAATATTGTAATACAGATCAATATTTTATCCACAGAGCGATAGATAGCATAGCAAATAACATCATATCATAGAAATGTTGATGAAGTTTCGGGTGGTCTCGGGAGGTTTTGGGTGTTTTTGGGAGGCTTCGGTTGTTTTTGGGAGGTTTCGGTATAAACAAATACCGCAGTCGGCCAACATTTCAATAGTCCTGATCACAATGGAGCCTTCGACCTGCAGCTTCTGGGCATTAAAATGGTTTGTAATCCTACAAAAGAAAAACTAAATCAAAGAGAATCAATGTAGATTTGGAACTTGGATTCGCACCAAATTTTCAGTGGTCTTAACATCGACGTGCCACATTTCAGGGACCCAAAATTTACCACGTAGGGTACTAATCACACTATTTTTAAAGACTATGTTACTCTACAACCATTTCTACCATAATTGCTGTGATATTTAGGATTGTTTGTCCTTCTATGTCCAATGTGGACAGATGCAGTGAAGATTGGTCTTTACAGTGGGGTGGAAGAAATCCGGATGAGTTAACTTGTAGTTTTCTACCTTGCCTTTAAGCTCGTTTCGAGGGGACATACGTTTCCTACCTGTGTGGAATTTAAAGTTTTACAAATTGCTTACCTCATGTAGATATATGCCACTACTACTATAACTTCTACTGCTCCTGCTCCTGCTCCTGCTACTGCTACTACTACTACTACTACTACTACTACTACTACTATTACTACTACTACTACTACTACTACTACTACTACTACTACTACTACTACTACTACTGCGACTTCCACTACTACTACAACCACCACTACTACTACTACTGCTGCTGCTGCTGCTATTACTACTACTATTAATTAATTTTACTTTTACATTAATATTAATCTTTATGATTTGACGTACTTTTTGCCATAGCCTTCAATTTTCTCTGGCCTTCACGATTTGTTTTTATCGCACCTTTTGGCATTATGACGTGGATGCGCGCACTTTTGTTGCTATAGCTTGTAGCAATGATCATACATAACAAGATAGTCTACTCAGCCAAAAAGTGTCTGCCGGAAGTCCGCACAATGGCTCAGATGGCGCTGCAGTCTTTGTTTTGAAGCTCTCTTTCGTTTCTCCAGAAGAAGAATAGGAATTGCACCTCCTTGCGTGCGCAGACCGACTGCTGTTCATCAGCTGTTCGGGTTCGTTCAGTGTGGAGTTTTAGGGTTAAAATTTTTTTTAATGACCTCTCGCCTCTCATTCCAAAGTAAAATTAAACAAAGAAAACAGTCGCCTATTCCTCCGAAAGAGGTTTTTTGTCAGCGTAACCATGTTAAAAAAGCGTTCTTCCTAAATTTCAATTCTTATTTATTTAAAAAACTTGTTAGTTTCACTTTGATTTTTTCACACAAGTAGGGAAACTCTGTTCACAAAGGGTGCGCATTTGCGAAGAGGGCACCACCGAATTTTGAAAAAACTTTTTTAATTGGTCCAAAGAGAGATGTGGACCATCTTGTTATGTATGATAATAATCTTACTACTAATGGAGCTAAGGCAAAATTTTGCGAACAGTATATTCTCAGAAACTACAGAATGAAAAAATATGAAACTTTGCCAGTACTCATAACTTTAAACGTAGTGTTGCACTATTGTATTTTCAATAAGATCAAATGTGTAAGAAGAAAGCCCATTTTAAGTTAAATTCAGTCCTTTTGTAGCGATCGCCATCATTTGCTTCGACATTGTTTATTCACTGCGGAGTGTCAACTGCACCAAAGGATTTTTTGTGTTCAGTTATACATTAAGTAGATTTACGGGAATTCCCGGTGTCGGTCTCGCGCCTTTGACCGCCTTCTCACAGCGGGTTTGGAACCCTCATAGATGAAGAAGAAGGAGGAGGAGGTGTAGGTGTAGATGGATGAGGAGGAGAAATGAAGAAGAAGAAGAAGAAGAAGAAGAAGAAGAAGAAGAAGAAGAAGAAGAAGAAGAAGAAGAAGAAGAAGAAGAAGAAGAAGAAGAAGAAGAAGAAGAAGAAGAAGAAGAAGAAGGAGGAGGAGGAGGAGGAGGAGGAGGAGGAGGAGGAGGAGGAGGAGGAGGAGCAGGAGGAATTAGAGGAGGAGGAGGGGGAGAACAAGAAGAAAAAGAAGGAGAAGAAGAATCAAGTAGTAATACATGTTGCAAAGCGGGGACTTTTTCGTTTGTTACCCTACCTTGGGAGAGAAAGAGAGAGAGAGAGAGAGAGAGAGAGAGAGAGAGAGAGAGAGAGAGAGAGAGAGAGAGAGACAGAGAGAGAGAGAAAGAGAGGGTGGAGAGGGAGAGGGAGAGGGAGAGAGAGAGAGAGAAGGTGAGAGAGTGAGAGAGAGAAAGAAAGGAAGAGATAGAGGAGGCCAGAAAACACCGCAGAGGGAGGGTGGTGAGATTGACAGGGAGGGTGTTGTCGAAAGTGCCAAGAGTAGCCTACCAAAGGGCTACTTAATGAATTCAAGGGTCAAAGTCAAAGGTTCAGCCAATCGTAGCCCGGTTTACGCCCTGCGTGTAGTCGCATGTGTGTGTATGTCTAAACCTAATTTCTAGATCAAGATTTAAAAAATCATGAAAGTATTGAAAGTAGATTTCTCCTGCAGTGGATTTAGCGCGCACGCCGAAGGATAAGTGTATTTTGTTCACAGTGTTTAGATGAGATCTAGAATCTAGATCTAGATCTAGAATCTACATCTAATCTAGATCAAAATCGATATCAAGAAGAATCACGAAATGAAAGTAGAATCTAGATCTTTGATATTTCGATAACCATTTGAATATTGAAAGTGGATTTTTCTTGCTGTGCTTTATAGATTCTAAGATCTAGATCGAGGCTAGATCTATATGTGAATCTTAGATCGAGATCAAGAATGATGAAAGTATTGAACGTGGGTTTTTTTTCCTGCTGTGAATAGATCTAGAGTCTAGAACTAGGCTGTCGGTGAATCTAGATCGAGGTCGAGAATCATGAAAGTATTCTTCAAAGTGGATTTTCCCTGCATTGAATAGATCTAGAAATCTAGGTCATCTGTGACGCCTGTCGGTTGTTAAAAATGTGAATGTCTAAACTTAGATCTATCTATGGGCCAGGGCTCCTTCTTTCAATTATTTGTCTAAGTCTTTATAATCCTTCGAGATCTAGGCTAGATCTAGAATCTAGATTAGGTTCTTCTAGGAAGCAACAATTGGCATGTAGGCCTAACTCTTTTTTTTAAAAAATGATTGAGCTGGAACTTTAGGAGAAAATGCCACGCCTTCGAAGAGGGGGAAGAAGTCTTACCCCTAGAGGAAGTCAAGACGGGGTGCTACCTGGATAAATTCTAGGTAAAATATTTATGTTTTGTTTCTTTCCTGTTTTCAGTCTTTTTCTCTTCTTAACTTTCATAATATTTCTTCACTATTATTCCGTTCGTAGAACGGGTACTTTTACTAGTAATAATAATAATAATAATAATGAAGATCATTTCTATAGCGCCCACTCCCGTGTAAACACACCTCTGGGCGCTTTACATAAATGCATGTACGAACAATATTCACGCACGCGACACACACACACACACACACACACACACACACACACACACACACACACACATCTACTTGCTTATCACACGCACACGCTTACACATCGTCATGAAATGAGCATAAAATAATATACACAATGCAATTCACAAAATACATCAATGGATACATATTCATTTACATAACATTGTACTGAACATGATTCTACTGACATAAAAAGGATGTCATTAAATGTGTCTTTAACGATTTAAAAAATTTATACTCAGATGTTGTATGTCTCAAGGGTTGGGGAAGAGAGTTCCAAACTGACGGAGCAAGGTGGGCGAACGATCTTTCAGCTAATTTTTTACCCCCTTTTCTAGAAACTCTTAAAAGATACTGATCGCCTGATCTTAGTGATCTAGATAGAACATAAATCTGGATGAGATCACTAAGTTATGACGGAGCTTTGTTATTGACACATTTGTGACATAATATTGCAATTTTATATGACATTCTAGCTGACACGGGAAGCCAATGCAATGTTCTTAACATGGGAGTAATGTGGTCCCGCTTCATTTTCTTTAGTACAAGCCTAGCAGCATGATTTTGAAAACGTTGTAACTTGTGAAGAGTGGTATTTGGTAAGTTAGCTAGTAAAGCATTGCAATAATCTTTGCGTGAAAACAAGAAAGATGACACGAGCTTTTTCATAGAGTGTTCATTCAAAAACATAGACATATGACCAATTCTACGCAATTCACAAAATAAAATGGTACCTAAATACATGTAATTGATATGATGTTCCATTGACAATTTTGAATCAAAATACACTCCCAGATTTTTTGCTTTATTAGTGAAATACAGTTTTTCATTTTCAGTACAAATATGATCAATGTCTACAGGGATATGGCTTTTCTTTGGGTTACATAAAAGAATTTCAGTTTTATTTTCATTAAGCTGGAGCTTATTAGCAACCATCCACTTTTTGATGTCATCAATGCACAGACCCATGATCATTGCTTGTAGTCCTTAGATCTTACATTATTTTTTTGTATCGTGTTCCTGACGAAGCCCTTTACCAGGCGAAACGTTGAACCTGTATTAAATTTGAAAAATCTACAAAGTCTCATACCTTTTTTATTCTCTGCTACTTACAATGATGATGACGATGACGATGACGATGACGATGACGATGACGATGATGATGATGATGATGATGATGATGATGATGATGATGATGATGATGATGATAATGATGATAGTGATGGTGATGATGATGATTTCTTTTAAAACGTTAAAAATGCTCTTAACTATTATCCATTAAATTAATTGATCTAAGACAGCAGCTGACGTAAATGTGCTTTTACAGTCATAGGAATAGGCAAGGAATTGAGGCATGTCGCTGCTTCACTGTGGTATTTGAACCATAAAACTTCCACAACTTTTCGAAAGCACAAGTTTGTCAGTTTCCCGGGTAAAAGGTCAACATGAGACAAAAAACTTGTAACCTCGTCATTGCTAGAAGAGGGAATCGGAGAAAGAAACGTTTCATCATTGCTGCACTGGACAAATTGTCTCGTGTACAGGTCATCGTCAGTATAACAGCCAAACAAAACCAGAAGATCTGCAATATCCATGTACCCCAAACGCAGCACAAGGTGCAACGGGCTGATCGTTTCTGCCGGCAGAAAGCCATTTGCGCCTGGCAGTCGTACGACGCACATGGCTGTTTGGGCTTTATAGCATAGCAATGCCCTCACAAATTCTTTTAATTCGTCCTTCAGATATTCATAGTTTTTAGGTTCTTCGATGGCTAAAACCAGAGCCGTCTTTCCCTTGTTCATGTAGTTTGGGTCTGCTCCTCTCTCGAGTAGTGCAATGACAAGTTCTATTGCCCCCTCGTGGCGAAAGTGAGGATACTTGGCCATGCACTGTAGGGCGGACCAGCCGTCAGTACCAGTAGCATTGACATCAGCTCCATGAAGTAGAAGAGTATGTGCTTTTTCATAAAAACCAATCTTAAATATAAGTCTTCTTTCATTTATAACACAGAGAAGAGGTGTTCTAAATCCATATTCACGTTTGTAGTTCACGTCAGGTTTCCTCATCTCAAGAAACAAACGCAATATTTCGCAGGAATAGTTGAAATCGCTTGCTATTTCGCTCAAATCCCAACCGGATACACGACCCCCAGAGTCCAGGAGCAGTAACAATATATCCTCTGGACAGCATCTAAAGGATCTCAACCTCTTCCTAAAAGTGTTGATAATGGTGGCGTTAAACCCATACCAATGCAAGGATCTCAAGGCCAATGAGATTGAACTGACCTCGGATAAATCTACTTTGGCTCCATGGTGCAAAAGAAAACTGACCATTCTGGAACTATACATTAATATAGCCATTCTTAAAGCATAGCCCTCCTCTGTGTTTACATCCGCCCCTGCTTTAATGAGAACGGACGCGTTGTTCTCACAGTTGCAGTCAGCAGAAAATTTAAGAGCAGTGGAAAGTATGCTCTCATCGAAAGGACACCTTTTCAGTAACCTTGAAAGTACCTTTTTGTTGTTTGGAAAACTGGACGCATAGCTTAAAATGTGCAGTCCTCTTTTCGTCAGAAAATCCTGCTCGACTGAGTTGGCTCCAGCCTCCAGGAGAATATCCACAGTTGTAGCCGATTTTAGCTTAATGGCGTGGATTAGAGCAGATTTCCCCTGGTTGTCAACCACATTAACATCGGCACCGTACGATAGTAGCAATTTCACAACCTCTGGCCAGCCCACGGCAAACATAAGAGCAGTTTTTCCTTCAACTAAATCCTGTGAGTTTTTCTCTGCTCTTGCCCGACACAGTATTTTGACAATGTCAACGACTCCATTTGAGCTGGAACACATAAGTGGAGTTCTCCCGCTTGCATCTGAAAAGTTTACTGAGAGTTCGTGTAGTGGCAAAATGTTCAACGCTTCATGATTAGAATATTTACAAGCTACCAGAATGAGGGTTTCACAATCTTCTTTATGGTACCAACACTCCTGAAGATTGACTTTTGACTTCACAACGTCTAGAAGCCCAGGTGTGTTGCTCTGGATTGCATATTTAGCAATATAATATTCCGCATCTCGGGCAAAGGAACTGGTTCTCGAATGGAGGGTATGTTTAACTTGAGGTTGAGAAAACTCTTGCTCACATTGAATTTCTTTCAATGACATTATTTGGTGGCCGTGGTTGTGGAGAAGGCCTGCTCCATTTTTCAGAAGTTCTGACACAACATTACACTTGCCAGCCTTCATAGGAGAGAGAAGGGCAAGACGCAAGGCAGTATTGCCGTTTTTATCCTCATCATTTACGTGTGCGCCGGCACCCAGGAGGATCTGCACAAGGACTGCCTCACAGCTACGTGCTGCATGCATGAGGGGTGTTTGGCTATTGTGGTCCCTTGCATTCACATTGGATCCCTCACAGATTAGCTTACGGCACAAAGCTTTCATCTCAATCGATGGCTCTTCAAAATCACATAAAACCGAATTCCTTTCTTTCGACGTTTTAAACAGCCGGATTTTATTTCCTAAGTCCATCCGAGCCATCTGATCACATAACAAGTTCAGAGGCATGCCACCTTTTCCATCCTTATGATTAACTATTTCCTTGGTATTATGGGAATCAGCATGAAGATTCTGCAACAACTCGAGAGACTGTTTCCACTGACACCCCCGAATAAGGGCGCATAAGGAATCCCCAGCTTTCTTCGTTGAAAGGTTACACTCCATTGTGATAGGATTCTGTCTCGGAATTGACCTGTGACCACACTAGGTACACCACATCACAAAGTTTCGGAGACTAGGATTTTCGTTTTCGTGAATGAAACCATTGCTATAATATATTCAGCTCTATTTCAGTTGAATGTTTCATGAGTAATTATCTATCTTTCCCCAAAGATAGTGGGTAACAATATTTGTTAAACGTTCAATATGCCAAAATCATCTTTTTTCCTTCTGACCAATCAGGTTGGTTCTTTTCCAACACAAAATGCACGAATCTCAGAGCAACCGAATGTAAGCCCACAGCAACTTATGATCAACCTTTATACCTTTTTGTTAGAAAATGAACTGACAAAAGCTCCTCCTTGCACTTCGGTCCAGAACACATCATTGACAGCCTTCCAGCACACAATACCACTGTAAACAAACATGATCCTTCCACCACACACAGACTCGAACGAAACACGTTTAAACAAAAAATGGGACAGACCACCAAACTGGATTGAATGACGTGTTGTCTGTATGTAGCGTTGAACCTCGTTTCGCTTAAAAGGATCAAAGCTGGGTATAAATACTAAATACCAAGGCAAACGCAATGCGCCTAAGTTACTTAAAATAAACACAATCGTCACGTGTTGTGGTTGTATCAAGGGCCAGGTACGCGGTAGAGCTGGGCCAAGAATCGATTCAGAAACCGATTCCCATGATTAGGTCTAACTCCTTCTTACATAACCAACGGTTACCTGTTACCGGTACTTTAACCATTAAAATCCTCCCTTTTTTAGGAATTTATTTTTGAGTGTTCCGAAATCAAGGTTATCCTAAATCGTAAAGATGTTTGGAGCCAACCAGGTAACCACCAGAAGAAATCACATAATTTGAAACTAAGTAATTGGGTTCGGAGTCGATTCCTACGATTCCTAGCTTTAAATAATTGGGAACCTAATCGCCCAGCACTAGTACGCGGGTACACACCAGATGTGTAACATAATTATATTTGACACAATATAAGTTTTGATTTCTGGTCTAGACAGTAAATCCACTTGCCAGAAAACAATGTACCTGCTTATCGCACTGCTGCCGTAGGTGCAATATTATTGAATTTTGTTTGTGTGTATGTCTCTCTCTCTCTCTCTCTCTCACTCTCTCTCTCTCTCTCTC